TTCTGCTCAGCAATTCCTGCAACTGGGCTGTTCGATAAGTCTCTGTCCAAGGTTTTTTTTTCGTTGTAATTTTTTATTTGTAACCTCTTAGCCCTTCATCTGGGTCAAGCTCTTTCTAATGACCATTCGCGTATTCCTTTCTGATAACCGAGAATGAATGCTTGTTATTCATCTGTTTCCGCCTCGAACGGTTATGATTTTCATCCTAATGCGAGATCTCAATAAATGAAAGGTTTCAGAAGAAGTGAGTACAATGACGCCACGACTCGATTATACCGATCGAGTAGCTGACATTGACAAATGCCCACCGTCACCAGACGGCGAGGAGCGACTGGATAAAATCAAAAAAACGTGAGAACTGTATTTCATCTATTCATTCAAAGGATTCCAATATCTCAATAGAAGGATCATAGTGAACACGGCACAATCCTCGAGTGAAGTTTTTGCTTTTTGATTTCGATGGCTAGAGAAAATAGGCGCAATCAACTTAATTGCACATCCGTTCACGAAACTATTGGTGTATGTCATTGCGGTAAACTGGCTGCGTAAGTGGAGCTTGAGCTGCGCTAGCCATGCTCTACGGCTCAGTAAAAATGGAGGGTATAAGCATCATGTGAGAAAGGCGCAGAGAGACAACTAGCCATGATGATCGGATGCGACGCGCGCGCGGCGAGACAACTAGCTCGAGATCGCCACAAGGGCATACCAACACACCTTCGGAATTTGTTGAAAGTATTCTGATGTTGCGAAACGAAACAAAAGACAGAAGAAAGGATGTGAATGAACGTAAACGGTTGACGGATTTTCTGCAGAAAAGACCAAAGCAACCGTTACCTTTGAAAGTATATTTTTGAGGAATGGGTAAATTTGTTACTTTTGAAAGTAACTACTTTGTAATTAGTTGTTTCCAGTACTCCATGGCTATCCGTGTATGTGGCAGCGCTCTGTTCTTTTGTACAAGCCCTACAATTCGGGCTGTTCTTCTCCTCGTTGTGGCCGTATTTGAAACGTGTTAGTTTTAATTTTCATATTGCCATAAATACATCGTATAGCCCTTAATTTAAATGATTCTTAGCCGTGATAAAATCTGTAAAACACGCCACTATGCTTGAGCCACCATTAGAGGCCTATCACTTTTTGTGTTTATACCCCACATCAGGGTCCGGTAATCATCGAGGAGGATGGGAGCACGGGCTAGGAAAAGTAGGGGTAACGGGGTGGAGAAAGGGGATTCGCTTGCTGGAAGGAGGAATCTTCGTGCCGTGAGAGGATACTACAATTCAGTGATCTTCGGAATGCGGGGTGATAGGGAGAGAGTCTGCTGCACTTCATGCAGCTACTTCTGAAAATTGGGTTTCCTCTAAATGAAGTGATACCATTCAATGATTTTCCAGCTTGATCCAACTGTGAACGAATCATTTTTCGGCTACGTGGTTGCTATATACAGTCTCGGCTCATGCATTGCATCGCCGGCATTCGGTTACTGGAGCAACCGTATCAAACAGGTAAGCTGCTTCCCACCTTTGGGAGTGTTCCAAGGAGAAAAGAAATAGATAAGGTCACGAACTATTCTGTCTGTAGTGTAAACGTTTCAGGTAAGAATACCGACGATTTTCGGCTTCAATATGATGTTGCTTGGGAACCTCATATATCTCATGCTCGACACTCTTCCGACAGGCCAACGTTACGCTATGGCTGTGTCTCGAGTGTTGATTGGAATCGGATCAAGTACGTTCAGTGTGACAGTGCATATGGGTGACGGCAGTAAACCCGAATGGCATGTCCGTGGGGAGACAACTAGTTAGGAATCGTCATGGGCATTGAGATTATCACTGTGCGCCCCAGATAGACAGATGCTGTCATCGCATTATTGCGGCGAAGTGGCGCTCTTACTGTACCTATGATTAATTACTTGAAGGTAACGCAGTACTGCTACGAACGTATGCTTCTACAGCATCGGTATCTGCAGATCGGACGAGATCAATCGGATGTGTCGCCGCCGGAATCGCTGCTGGACTTGTCATCGGACCTGGTGAGACGAATTTCATCAATTCTGAACTTATAGGTTAGTAGTCCCCCCCATACCCACGGGAGAACACAGGTATGGTTGTGGTTACTCTGAAATGCTGGTTCCGTGGAACCACTATAAAGCTGTCCTGAGAATAGGTCCGCCCCACACTACGGTGAACGACGCTTACCAGTAACTTTACCGAACGGGTCCCTACAAAATCGAGCAAGCGCGTTTCCCTGAACTGAAGATTGGAATCACAATAGTTTACTATTTCAGGCCTGCAGGCACTTTTCACTCCTCTGGGTGAAGAAGGACTCCGGCTGCTTCCGGGTTGGTCCCTTGACATGTACAAAGCACCAGCACTTCTAGCCGCTGTTGTGAACATCTGTGGCATTGCACTGATGTATTTTGTATTTGACGAGACCTATGCAGGACTCAAGGATGACAAAGAGGTGATTTGCTGGTTGTTCGCCCACAGTGCTCTCAGTATTACAAACTACCTCAATCAACTACCCGTTCAGGCTAAGGAATTGCCACCAGCCGATTTGATAGCTGTGGCTGTTTGTATTGTTACCAGATTCACCCAGCTTTCCGTATCGACGAATATCGAAACGTGAGTAGCCCTGATTTTTTTTNTTTTTTTTCACTCTTGTCAAGGAGAGCCCATATGCAAACTCAAAACTTAGAACCTTAAGCCACTCGTGGCTAGCAATTCCTCCGCTCCTCATTGCTTTGTGTCCTTAATGGATTTAAGGTTTTCTAATAGATCTCCTTTTTAATGAGTTCGTATTGAAAAGGCCGTCATTCCCTTCGACTTTGCAGGGAGTGGGTTAAGAAAAGGGGTCCACATTGTTTGGCCCAAAATAGTTCACTGATTATTGTTTTTCAAGGCTTGGATCCGCTTACTCGATGATGATGTTCGACCTGTCGGCACCGGATGCCGTTCGGGTAAATGCCACCTCCCAAGCTGTCCAAGGAGTTGCCGCAGCCGTCATACTCCTCCCATTTCTCTTCTTGAACATCGGAAAAAGGTAAGTCAAGTACAAATGAGAAAAAAATTTATAAAATAGTAGCAGAGTGAAAGTTAGTCCAAATATAAACACATCGATTATAATTGTATGATTGAAGTGCTCAAAAACGATTTTTTTTTATTTTCTGGTATTTACAATTATTATTCAACACTATGTGCACGTTCAAATTGTGTACATACTTTGTGCACGTACTTATTGATCCTTTCAGATTGAGACAACGCACAGTGAACATCGCCTGCGTATTGGGCTTTATAGCTTTTCATCTCATCACGTATCCATGGGGATTTGGAAATGTCGGCCGTGTCACTGTACATCCGCAAGGTGGGTTTCTAAATTTTGGAAAACGGATTTACCTGGGTGGGACATCTTCTCCCCGAACATCGCGTTGCGCTCGCCGCACCTGCCGTGTGCCGCAGAAATGCGATAGAACCGCGAGACAACTAAAAAAGATCTACCGCATGCGGCAAAACGAAAGTGGGAAATCGGAAAGAAATTCCGCCACTTGGAAAATACAGAACAAAGCAAAGTCGCTGTTCCAAAATGCTAGATTGGCATGAATTCCTTCCGCTCCCCCTTCTCAACTCGTTAACCAACCGAATTTACCTGCTTAAAGAGTAGGGTTTTATGTCGGGAGTTTTTGACGGCAGCTTTTTTGTATTGTAAGAAAAACAACAAGAATCGAGTGATCACCCTCATTTTTGAGCTAGGAAAAATTTTTGGGTGACTTGCCTCGTGGGCGTTTCTGGGTACGCAAATGCTCGAATCCAATATATTATAGGTGCTGGTCAATGTTTTTTCTCTTTAATTTTTCATATCTCTTCAATCTCTCAGAGCATTTCAGAGTCTGAACTCGGTGGCTGTGATGCCGAGCGTTTCAGTTGGTGTACATCCACACCTCGAGTGAATTTTTGGGTGTACTACGTCTCGTTGTGCAGTGTATTCGAAGTCACATATGCGTTCAGTAATGTTGTGCTGTCGACGGTATTCTCGAAAATCATCGGTCCCAGACGTCAGGTTAGATGGTTTATCCTCAACTTCAAGTGTTTATTGGAGCCTTGTAGGAGAAAATTATTGTAAAGACCAAGTAGGCAATCGAACAGCGCTATGTTCCTGGATGAAGGTTGAATTGTTTGGGCAGACAGGGTTGACCATGGTTACGAATTCCCGTTTTTATTTATTATTTATTGTCTCGAATTTTTACTTGGCATGAGCAACGTTGTAATGTCGACAGAATCGCTAAACACTTACAAATCATGAAAGTTCCCGGTCAGTATCAACAGGGATACCTAACGGCCACCTGGAAACGCCCAGTCATTATCAACAGGGAAACTGCTCGGGTTCCAATTATTTTCTAGGCAAAAAATAAGTGACTAGGTCCAATGTCGAGAAATAGATTGCTCTAGTGGGAGCACTCTAAGATGAACATGCATTTCTGCAGAACATTCGTTGAAATCATCTTATGTCATAAGAAAGCAGAGGTAGAATTATTCCTACAGCATGCTTTAATAAGAACCCGTCCAGGAGCCGCTGATTTTTTGGAATTTCCAGCCGATGCCTATGTATAAGCCATGTGTTCAGAAAGTTGTTGAAAGTGAAGGAAGGTGAAAGTGTACCTGTCAACGGCAGACCCTATCATAACATTAGGCAGTGTAACAGCACATCGTTCAAGTTCAGTTCACCAAATAGGCATAGTTTACCAGGGTACCAACGATGATAGCAAATATTGGGCCATGGCTTCTACATAGGGAGCAACAAATGTGTCATTGGCTAAAACCAATCCTTAGGAGAGTAAAATTGAACCTAAAGATCTCAGCCCTAATTCCTCAGTGTTTCACCGCCTGAGATAACTCCCTGATTAAGCCCTAACCCTAGGTGACATCCCAAACTGGTCAAACAGAAATTGAATTGGATCTCCATCACATTCTAATTCTAACAACATTAGGCACAGGACGAAATATGTATTCGAGTCACAGCGAGCTGAACTACATAGATCTGCTT